GGCTCCTGCAGCTTCCTCGTCTCTGATCCCCGTCATGCCCCCAGACTGACGCTAGTGAGCTAGAGAATCCGACAGCCAGGGGCGGATATAGGGCAGGGCGAACGGGGCGACCGCCCCATGCCCCGTGCTTAAAAAAGCCCCGCGCATGCGCCGAGGCAAAGGGGGGACCCCGCGGAGTTATGCTGCCTGGGGCCCCGCAAAACAGTCATCTGCCCCTGCTGACAGCCACGGGGGCAGGGCTCGGTGGAGTCTAAAAGGGATCTGGGCTGCTCCCAGACCGCCTCCAACATGCGAGCCACACCCTGAGTGTCTGTGTACAGCTTCAGCCTGCCAGCCCACGGGGGTCACGCTGGTTCTCCCCAGCCTGGGTTGTCCTGCCGGGTGGCCCCAGCCCGGCTCAGGCAGCGTCCCTGATGGCCTTGCTGCCAGGCTGCGCTGACTTCTTCTCTCCCCTCCCTCCAGGCTCCGCGTGCCCCAGGGCAGCTCCACGGAGCTCAACCACTTTGGATACCAGTTTCTGCAGCGGATGTTTGAGAAGCACGACAAGGTGAGCAGGGCAGGTCGCTGTCAGGCGTCCAGTCCCCCCCGCGAGCTCCCTCGCCAACTTGATTAGCTGCCCAGGTGCCGCTCTGCAGCTGCTCTGCGCGCCGGCCCATCTGCTTATCCTGTTGTCCTTGCTTTGTCCTTCGGGGAGGGCCGTCCTCTTTATACCAGTTTCTGCAGCGGATGTTTGAGAAGCACGACAAGGTGAGCAGGGCAGGTCGCTGTCAGGCGTCCAGTCCCCCCCGCGAGCTCCCTCGCCAACTTGATTAGCTGCCCAGGTGCCGCTCTGCAGCTGCTCTGCGCGCCGGCCCATCTGCTTATCCTGTTGTCCTTGCTTTGTCCTTCGGGGAGGGCCGTCCTCTTTCGCCCAGAGAGAACATCTTCGCGTGCCCATGACCGCTGGACTCTCCGGGGGCGCCCGCAGGTCCCAGGCTGATGGCTCAGAGCTTGACTGGATGCTCGGTGGGCGGCCATTCAAAACGGGCACTTAATAAGCTCCCTGGGGCTGGGCTGCGGTGGCGCCTGCCTTTCTGCATGACATAAGCTGAGCTGGCGCCCATCCTCGAACAGCAGAGCTCTTAGTATGAAAGGGGAGGCCGGGAGGAGTCGGAGACGGTCACTTCGGCAGCTGGCCCCGGCAGGGAAGCGATTCTAAATGCCCGGCCACTGGACAGCAGTCAGGAGAGCGCATGCGGCCCATTGGGGGAGGAGGAGGAGGAGCGCAGGCTTTGCTCTTTTCTGCCTCTTGGCAGAGCAAGAGAGGAGCCTGCCAGCTCTGTGCAGCTCACCCCCCTGGGCGGAGCCGGCTCTGCGGTGCTGCTGTTCCACGGTGACATGCTCTGCATCAGTAGCCAAGCCCCAGGTAACTACGGGGCAGCTTCCCTTGCATCTTTACGGAGGGTTTTCTCGGGCTCCATCTGAAGGCCAACAGCCCAGTCCCTCCAGTCACCCCCTTCTTTGATTATTAAATCCCGTTACGCCGCTGCCGTGTTTTCTATTCCCAGCGGGTTACTGCATCGGCAAAGCGGCCGAGTGACGGGCGGCCAGCGCAGCCGGCCCTGGAGAAAGCGTGGAAGGGCGGGTGGAGTTGCAGGGTCAGCACACGGGCTGGGTGTTTGTGCTAAAACCCTCATTTCACGCGGGGGGGGGGGGAGGTAATGTCAGTTTCACGCGGGGGGGGGGGGAGGTAATGTCAGTTTCACGCGGGGGGGGGGGGAGGTAATGTCAGTTTCACGCGGGGGGGGGGGGAGGTAATGTCAGTTTCACGCGGGGGGGGGGGGAGGTAATGTCAGTTTCACGCGGGGGGGGGGGGAGGTAATGTCAGTTTCACGCGGGGGGGGGGGGAGGTAATGTCAGTTTCACGCGGGGGGGGGGGGAGGTAATGTCAGTTTCACGCGGGGGGGGGGGGAGGTAATGTCAGTTTCACGCGGGGGGGGGGGGAGGTAATGTCAGTTTCACGCGGGGGGGGGGGGAGGTAATGTCAGTTTCACGCGGGGGGGGGGGGAGGTAATGTCAGTTTCACGCGGGGGGGGGGGGTAATGTCAGTTTCACACTGCTTCAGCCTCAGACAGGCAGTTCTGGTTGTTTGCATGTGGCTCACATCTGCAGTTATGAGGATTCAAAATAGTTTTTTTCAACACAAGCTTATCCAGAGGAAAATGCCGTAGCAGGCAGGGCGTGCACCTCCAGGGCAGGCAGTGGCAGACCCACTGAGCATCTGGGGCTCTGCCCAGAGAAGTGCAGCCCGCAGCCCGAGTTAGCCAGTGTGTGTGGATATAACTGTGCTCTGGGTCTCCATGGGGCGCCCGCTTCAAGCCCCAATCCTCCCGTTGTGTTCCCAGGATGGCGATGGAGCCCTCTGCCCTGTAGAACTCCAGAGCTTCTTCAGTGTCTTCCCCTACGTGCCCTGGGGACCGGAACTCTACAACACGGTATGCACCACTGATAAAGGCCTGCTTTCACTGCATGGATTCCTCTGCCAATGGACGTAAGCGCAATCCCTCTCCACCCCCTTGCTCCAGTCCACTGAGCACAGCCCGGGCTCAGTCAGGGTGCCCTGGAACTGGCAACGGTCTCTCTGCTTGGATCCCCCAGGCTGGTGTCCTATCTGGATGTCCATCACTGCTTGGAGTACCTGGGTTACTTGGGCTACCCCATCTTCTCGGAGCACAACTCTCAGACGCAGGCCATCACAGGTACGTCGTCCCTCCAGGGTCGCCATCGCGGCCACTGGTTTCCTGGGGCCCAGGTGTGCCTGGAGGTAACGCGGGGTAGGGATGGAAGTGACTAGTTGACAATCCGATAAGCAGATGCTGCTTACTTCCCCCACCCTTGCTGCCTGTATCAGAGAGAGGCAACAAGGGGAGCCGGTGCTGGGCGGAGCCAGCTGAAAAGCTGGTCCATCGGTCCCCCCGCACCATCTCCGCGGGGAGGCAGAGGCATAGTGGGGACTGGGCATGAGCTGGGCATCAGCTGGTTCCTGGCTCGCGCCTGGTTCCCCTGCTGCGCTTCAGCCTTTTAAATGTATTAAGAGCCTGGTGGCTTTTAATACATTTAAAAGGCAGAGCTGCAAGTGGGGTTAGCTCCCGAGGCTAGGGGCTAACCCCACTGCAGCTCTGCAGTTTCCCCTCCCCATTATCGACTAATCCACAAGTCGATGGAAAGTCCACCGACTAGTCGATTCGCTGATTAAACACCATTTCACCTCAGTTTCACGCGGGGAGGAGGAGGTAATGTCAGTTTCACGCGGGGGGGGGGGGAGGTAATGTCAGTTTCACGGTCGATGGAAAGTCCACCGACTAGTCGATTCGCTGATTAAACACCATTTCACCTCAGTTTCACGCGGGGAGGAGGAGGTAATGTCAGTTTCACGTGGGGGGGGAGGGAGGTAATGTCAGTTTCACGCGGGGGGGAGGTAATGTCAGTTTCATGCG